AATAAGACTCCAGAACAGAATCATAGAGCCCAGCACAGACTGATAGAGACCAGCTCAGACTGATAGAGACCAGCTCAGACTGATAGAGACCAACACAGTCCGACAGAGACCGGCTCAGACTGATAGAGACCGGCTCAGACTGATAGAGACCAGCTCAGATTGATAGAGACCAGCTCGGACTGATAGAGACCAGCTCGGACTGATAGAGACCAGCTCGGACTGATAGAGACCAGCTCGGACTGATAGAGACCAGCTCGGACTGATAGAGACCAGCTCGGACTGATAGAGACCAGCTCGGACTGATAGAGACCAGCTCGGACTGATAGAGACCAGCTCGGACTGATAGAGACCAGCTCGGACTGATAGAGACCAGCTCGGACTGATAGAGACCAGCTCGGACTGATAGAGACCAGCTCGGACTGATAGAGACCAGCTCGGACTGATAGAGACCAGCTCGGACTGATAGAGACCAGCTCGGACTGATAGAGACCAGCTCGGACTGATAGAGACCAGCTCGGACTGATAGAGACCAGCTCGGACTGATAGAGACCAGCTCGGACTGATAGAGACCAGCTCGGACTGATAGAGACCAGCTCGGACTGATAGAGACCAGCTCGGACTGATAGAGACCAGCTCGGACTGATAGAGACCAGCTCGGACTGATAGAGACCAGCTCGGACTGATAGAGACCAGCTCGGACTGATAGAGACCAGCTCGGACTGATAGAGACCAGCTCGGACTGATAGAGACCAGCTCGGACTGATAGAGACCAGCTCGGACTGATAGAGACCAGCTCGGACTGATAGAGACCAGCTCGGACTGATAGAGACCAGCTCGGACTGATAGAGACCAGCTCGGACTGATAGAGACCAGCTCGGACTGATAGAGACCAGCTCGGACTGATAGAGACCAGCTCGGACTGATAGAGACCAGCTCGGACTGATAGAGACCAGCTCGGACTGATAGAGACCAGCTCGGACTGATAGAGACCAGCTCGGACTGATAGAGACCAGCTCGGACTGATAGAGACCAGCTCGGACTGATAGAGACCAGCTCGGACTGATAGAGACCAGCTCGGACTGATAGAGACCAGCTCGGACTGATAGAGACCAGCTCGGACTGATAGAGACCAGCTCGGACTGATAGAGACCAGCTCGGACTGATAGAGACCAGCTCGGACTGATAGAGACCAGCTCGGACTGATAGAGACCAGCTCGGACTGATAGAGACCAGCTCGGACTGATAGAGACCAGCTCGGACTGATAGAGACCAGCTCGGACTGATAGAGACCAGCTCGGACTGATAGAGACCAGCTCGGACTGATAGAGACCAGCTCGGACTGATAGAGACCAGCTCGGACTGATAGAGACCAGCTCGGACTGATAGAGACCAGCTCGGACTGATAGAGACCAGCTCGGACTGATAGAGACCAGCTCGGACTGATAGAGACCAGCTCGGACTGATAGAGACCAGCTCGGACTGATAGAGACCAGCTCGGACTGATAGAGACCAGCTCGGACTGATAGAGACCAGCTCGGACTGATAGAGACCAGCTCGGACTGATAGAGACCAGCTCGGACTGATAGAGACCAGCTCGGACTGATAGAGACCAGCTCGGACTGATAGAGACCAGCTCGGACTGATAGAGACCAGCTCGGACTGATAGAGACCAGCTCGGACTGATAGAGACCAGCTCGGACTGATAGAGACCAGCTCGGACTGATAGAGACCAGCTCGGACTGATAGAGACCAGCTCGGACTGATAGAGACCAGCTCGGACTGATAGAGACCAGCTCGGACTGATAGAGACCAGCTCGGACTGATAGAGACCAGCTCGGACTGATAGAGACCAGCTCGGACTGATAGAGACCAGCTCGGACTGATAGAGACCAGCTCGGACTGATAGAGACCAGCTCGGACTGATAGAGACCAGCTCGGACTGATAGAGACCAGCTCGGACTGATAGAGACCAGCTCGGACTGATAGAGACCAGCTCGGACTGATAGAGACCAGCTCGGACTGATAGAGACCAGCTCGGACTGATAGAGACCAGCTCGGACTGATAGAGACCAGCTCGGACTGATAGAGACCAGCTCGGACTGATAGAGACCAGCTCGGACTGATAGAGACCAGCTCGGACTGATAGAGACCAGCTCGGACTGATAGAGACCAGCTCGGACTGATAGAGACCAGCTCGGACTGATAGAGACCAGCTCGGACTGATAGAGACCAGCTCGGACTGATAGAGACCAGCTCGGACTGATAGAGACCAGCTCGGACTGATAGAGACCAGCTCGGACTGATAGAGACCAGCTCGGACTGATAGAGACCAGCTCGGACTGATAGAGACCAGCTCGGACTGATAGAGACCAGCTCGGACTGATAGAGACCAGCTCGGACTGATAGAGACCAGCTCGGACTGATAGAGACCAGCTCGGACTGATAGAGACCAGCTCGGACTGATAGAGACCAGCTCGGACTGATAGAGACCAGCTCGGACTGATAGAGACCAGCTCGGACTGATAGAGACCAGCTCGGACTGATAGAGACCAGCTCGGACTGATAGAGACCAGCTCGGACTGATAGAGACCAGCTCGGACTGATAGAGACCAGCTCGGACTGATAGAGACCAGCTCGGACTGATAGAGACCAGCTCGGACTGATAGAGACCAGCTCGGACTGATAGAGACCAGCTCGGACTGATAGAGACCAGCTCGGACTGATAGAGACCAGCTCGGACTGATAGAGACCAGCTCGGACTGATAGAGACCAGCTCGGACTGATAGAGACCAGCTCGGACTGATAGAGACCAGCTCGGACTGATAGAGACCAGCTCGGACTGATAGAGACCAGCTCGGACTGATAGAGACCAGCTCGGACTGATAGAGACCAGCTCGGACTGATAGAGACCAGCTCGGACTGATAGAGACCAGCTCGGACTGATAGAGACCAGCTCGGACTGATAGAGACCAGCTCGGACTGATAGAGACCAGCTCGGACTGATAGAGACCAGCTCGGACTGATAGAGACCAGCTCGGACTGATAGAGACCAGCTCGGACTGATAGAGACCAGCTCGGACTGATAGAGACCAGCTCGGACTGATAGAGACCAGCTCGGACTGATAGAGACCAGCTCGGACTGATAGAGACCAGCTCGGACTGATAGAGACCAGCTCGGACTGATAGAGACCAGCTCAGACTGATAGAGACCAGCACAGACTGATAGAGACCAGCTCAGACTCAGAGACCAGCTCGGACTGACAGAGACCAGCACAGACTGACGGAGACCAGCACAGACTGACGGAGACCAGCTCAGACTGATGGAGACCAGCACAGACTGATAGAGACCAACCAGCTCAGACTAATAAAGACCAGCTCAGACTGATAGAGACCAGCACTGACTGATAGAGACCAGCACAGACTGATAGAGACCAGCACAGACTGATAGAGACCAGCTCAGACTGATAGAGATCAGCACAGACTGATAGAGACCAGCTCAGACTGATAGAGACCAGCTCAGACTGATAGAGACCAGCACAGACTGATAGAGACCAGCACAGACTGATAGCGACCAGCTCAGACTGATAGAGACCAGCTCAGACTGATAAGAGACCAGCTCAGACTGATAGAGACCAACACAGACTGACAGAGACCGGCTCAGACTCAGAGACCAGCTCAGACTGATAGAAACCAGCTCAGATTGATAGAGACCAACCAGCTCAGACTGATAGAGACCAACACAGACTGACAGAGACCGGCTCAGACTCAGAGACCAGCTCAGACTGATAGAAACCAGCTCAGATTGATAGAGACCAACCAGCTCAGACTGATAGAGACCAGCTCAGACTGATAGAGACCAACCAGCTCAGACTGATAGAGACCAGCTCAGACTGATAGAGACCAACCAGCTCAGACTGATAGAGACCAGCTCAGACTGATAGAGACCAACCAGCTCAGACTGATAGAGACCAGCTCAGACTGATAGAGACCAACCAGCTCAGACTGATAGAGACCAGCTCAGACTGATAGAGACCAACACAGACTGACAGAGACCGGCTCAGACTCAGAGACCAGCTCAGACTGATAGAAACCAGCTCAGACTGATAGAGACCAACCAGCTCAGACTGATAAAGACCGGCTCAGACTGATAGAGACCAACACAGACTGACAGAGACCGGCTCAGACTCAGAGACCAGCTCAGACTGATAGAAACCAGCTCAGACTGATAGAGACCAACCAGCTCAGACTGATAAAGACCGGCTCAGACTGATAGAGACCAACACAGACTGACAGAGACCGGCTCAGACTCAGAGACCAGCTCAGACTGATAGAAACCAGCTCAGACTGATAGAAACCAGCTCAGACTGATAAAGACCGGCTCAGACTCATAGAGACCAACACAGACTGACAGAGACCGGCTCAGACTGATAGATTCAAAAAACTTTATTATCTATCAACCAGTGATAGAAATTTGTCTTAGGTAAAAGGCTTACATATACACAACACAAAAAACACACACAACAACCAAACCACAATTAATCCACAATAACACCTCTAAAATAAATTATGTTTTATTAACAAAGTTCGGGAGGAGCACGCTCAGGTAAAAAACCTAATTAACACGAGAGGAGTACAATCAGCAATCAACCCAATAAACAAGATAAGAGGTGTATATATACACAGCAGACCTCCCCCTCTCTTCCTTGACAGTTTTCCAGCATCCCTCCACCACCCCTTCTGGTGGTTAATAATAATCTAATTCATTCATTCAATAATAACAAACCTAAGATACAAGATCCTGACTAAACTACTTGGCTTTATTTAGAATAGAAATTGCAGTAGGAATAAAATAATTACTATAAGCCTTCCTTCTAGCCCATGGAGTTCTAAACCGACAACCTGCTGGGAGAAACAATGCAAAGGATGAGAGGGGTCAGTAACAACAGAAGCTGCTTTCCTCTTTACAGCACAGTTATAGAGAGCTAAAAGTTGAGTCTGTGGGTACCCAATAATTGAAGATGTCTGCCTGATTACGCTTGATAATTTTTTCTTGTTTTCAGCTGAAAGAAAGGTAAACCAAGAAACAATATTAAAGGTTATAATTGATTCCACCAGCTCAGACTGACACACTCACCAGAGCAACAAAGTGCAGAAGGTTGATTCCAGGCTTGTTGGCTTTCGTATCAGCCAATGACAGCAGAGACGAGAGTTTGAAGCCCACGGCGTTACCAGCAGATCCACCCTGACACACAGAGCGACACAGAGAGAGAGAGAGAGAGAGAGAGAGAGAGACACACACACACACACACAGAGAGAGAGAGAGACACACACACACACACACAGAGAGAGAGAGAGAGAGACACAAACACACACACACACACACACACAGAGAGAGAGAGAGAGACAGAGAGAGAGATTTTTTTGATTTTTACAATCACTTTATAAAAACAATTGTTCTTCAAACATTACATCACTTTACACATAAAAGGAAAATAAAATAAATTACATATTTACATCAACTCTCTTATAAAAACAATTTTTCCATCAACAACTGAACATAGAGCATTACAACACCACTGAATTTCAAAAACATTTATCTTACTCGTTAATCTATGAAAATTAAAGTCAATAAGGATTCTTGCTTTTACCATATTTTTAAAAATAAAAACAACATCTTGACCTGACTTCTCTTCTATCTTATTTCTCCTAGTAATATAGAGAGCATATTTTGCTTGTCCCACAATAAAATTAATAACATGACATTTTGACTTTTGTTTTGGACTATAAAAAAAGCCAAGAATAAAATCTTGCTTTGTAAAACAAATATTAAAATAATCAAAAAGAACTTTTAACAAGTCAAAAAGAGGGTTAAGTCGATTACAGTCCATAAAACAATGAAATATGGTCTCTCGTTCCAAACAAAAAGGGCATTTGTCACTTACAGTGGGGTTTAAATTAGATACAAAGGCATTCACAGCAATAGCTCCATGTAAAATTCGCCATTGTAAATCACCAAGTTTTTTTGTTAATGGTGGTTTGTAAATTGCTCTCCAAACAGGCTTAATTTCGGAATTAATCCCTAATTTTTCTCTCCATACTGTATCTGTTTTAATACTTAAATTACGTTGATAAATAACTTTCACAATGCATTTATACAGCATTTTCCCTTCTACTGTACAAAAATCAATATATTTATTAATTCCTATGTTTAACAGAGGGCTAGTAAAACAAGACCCATCTATAGCGGGGGAAATTTCAATATCTGGGAAAAGATCTTTACTGTCAGGGATTAAAGTCCCTGCACCAAACTCTTCTAAAAGTATCTTCTCTTCATCAGTTAAAATCATAGTCAATTTATCAAGAAACCTCTTAGCAAAACGTATTGATCTAACCCCTAAAAGGGTTGCAATTTGTTCAGGTCTCTGTAAATCATATCCCGATTCATTTATAATGTTTTTTAACTTAAAAGTCTTTTTATACCCTAATAAATCTGTTAAACCAGGAAAATCTTCTCCAGAAACATCAAACCGAGCTCCAAAAATAAGTGGTTCCTCCAACAACCAATAAAGAGAAATTGCTGGTTCCATCCACCGATTTTTAAAAAGACCCCACACTTTAAACAAGCTTTGATAAAAAGCAGGAATTCCAGTTAAATTAAATCTGTTATGATCCATTAAAAACAATGTTAAATCCATTTCCATATTACCCACTCTTCTCAAAATGCTTAAAGCCAATGGTCTCCATACAAGCGAGTAAGGTCCCATTAAAAGTTTCTGTATATATTGGAGACGGTAAGTGGCTCTTCTGCTTGCGAGATTTACTAATCCTTGACCTCCTTCCTCCTTGGGCAAAAACAGAATGCTTTGAGGGGTCCAATGATAACTGTCCCAAAAAAAAGTCACCAGTTCTCTTTGAATATTTGCAAGGAGTCCGTTTGGAGGGTCTACACAAGCAAATTTATGCCATAATGAAGATGCCACAAGATTATTAATAATAAGAATACGCCCTCTATAAGACATCTGAGGGAGTAACCATTTCCATTTTTCCAATCGACCTTTTATTTTCTCAAATAACCCTTCCCAATTTTTCTTTATGAAACTCTCATCTCCCAGATAGACACCAAGATATTTTAACCCTCCTCTTTTCCAAAACAGTCCTCCAGGTAAAGTGGGAAGATCTCCATTCCAATTTCCCACTAACAGAGCTTCACTTTTCCCCCAATTGACCTTAGCAGAAGAAATACATTTAAAATCATTAACAATTTTTCCTACCTTACATACATCATCCTGTCCGTTTACAAAAACAATAACATCATCAGCATAAGCAGAAAGATATAAAGGATTATTACAAGCAGGGAAAACCAGACCTTTTAAATGACCTCGTAACTTTTGAAGTAAAGGTTCAATGGCTAGGGAATACAGCATACCAGCCATGGCACATCCCTGTCTAACTCCTCTCTGAACTTTGAACGGAGCACTCAAACCACCATTAATCTTAAGAACACTCTCAATGTTACAGTACATAGCCTTAATCATTGATATAAAAGAAGGGCTAAACCCAAAAGCCTCTAAAGTATTCCATAAAAACAGATGTTCAACTCTGTCGAAAGCTTTCTCTTGATCGAGAGAAATCAAACCAGAGTTAATTCCCAAGAGTTTAGAAGCATCCAAAACATCTCTAATTAAAGCAATGTTATCCAAAATAGACCTGTTAGGAATACAATAAGACTGATCAGAATGAATCAATTGGCTTAAAACTTTACTAAGTCTTATGGCCAAAGCTTTAGAAAAAATTTTGTATTCTGAACATAACAGTGAGAAAGAGAGAGAATCAGTTCATCTGGATGGTTCATATAAAACCAGTGAAAGTGATCTACCAGTTCGTCAAGAGTCTCAACTGTACTGCGTGGGTTCTGGCTTTGTAAATCTAAACTGTAAAAAATCAGTTCCAAAGCTTTGATCAGCAGTGTATGAAATACAATTTCAAATGTCAATTTCTCAGCTGCATTCTGATAGTATTTACATTACATTTATACAAAACACAAAAACAAAAAAGCAAGCAAACAATTAAATAAATAAAAAATCTAAATGTTAAATTTAAAATTAAACAAAATTTGAATATTGTTTATATTAATCACTTTTTTTTTTTAAAGTTTACAAAACCTATTCTAAATACAGTTTTAAAAAACTCATATTTACTTTTGTAATGTGTAAGATTTTCACAGTAGTTTTTGAGTGTTTTTGTGGTGAATTAAATCCCTCTCCGGTCAATCTGACCCAGAACATGATAACAATTACATCACGAATTTTAACATAATACCAAAAAATATATATATCTTTTACACATTTATATTTGTAGCATTTCTGTAGTTTGAACAGTAAATCATTATGCTTACAACGCCAAGGTCATGGGTTCAATTCACAGGAAAAGCATGAACTGATTTAATGTATATCTTGAATGCAATGCAACTCACTAAAAACACATCTGCAAAATGCATTACTAAGCGTACTTTGATGTAGTCTTTATTAGTAGCTTGTTATTTGGTTAATTATTTACTGGCTTCAATTTAAAGCAGTTTAACACTGCTATATGTATATGACTATGCATGTATTTGTAAATGTGTAAGAGTACCAGACTTACAGCATTCATGATGTTTCCAGCCTGCAGCACTAAATGAAGGACATCGTGAAGCTCCTCGCAGCTCAACAGCTCTGTAAACAACAGTTCAGCAGATGAATGTGACGCTGAAGGTGTTTATACACAGAACACTGTAAATAGTGATGGATTTTATGGGAACACAACACTAGACTGCTGAAATCACTTGTTCACCTTTAATGGTGCTCAGGATGATGGTCATGTCATGTTTCATGACGGTGTATGAAGGGAAAAACTCTTCCTTTAACAGCAGAGCCTCGAGACGGACCTCATACCTGCAGAAACGCAGAAGAACCAGCTCAAATTAGATCAGGACCAGACCGGATCACTGCCACAAACACTGACAGCCCGCTTCCATCGTACCTGGGTAAATGGATGAGCTTGTGTATGAAAGCATCAGGCGGCGCCAGGTCTTTAGGATTGCCATTGAATATCTGAAGATTCTTCACCTGTCAACCAACCAATCAATCAGTCAGTCATGAAGCAATCCTCTGCTTAAAGGTGACGTATCATGAAAATTGTTAAAAAGTGCTATAATCAGGTCCCCGGTGCATCTACCAACCAAGGAAACGTGAAAAAGATTAACCCAGTAACTTTGTTTTGGTAAGCCCTTTTCTGCAAGCGTCTGAGAAAACGAGCGCGTCTGATTTCGCTCGCTTGGTGACGTGGCAAAGATCTCATTATAATATCACCGCCCCTTAATCTGTAAATCCGTTATTGTGTTTTCGCAAGCGACAACGGTGTACTAGTTCTAATGCCATGGAGAAAGTTTGAGCAAAACACGCTAACTGTTCTGTGTTTGGCTGCACAGACGAGCACAGAACACTGTTTAGAGTCCCAGCCTCAGAGGAGACGACAGAGCAGTGCATTTATTGATGTATTTACTGTATATTGCTGCTGCCACACAGATCTAAAATAAACATGTGATTTATTTCCCAGCTGTTTACCTTCACAGACATAACCGACTGTTTTTGTAACT